ATATGGAGCGCCTGCGCGCGACTGCCGGTCGGAGGATGCGCGTCGGGTGGCGGCTCGGGGAGATGGGGTTCCTGGAGTCCGTTAGCAGAGATGCCTACACGGAGATCGAGCAGGACCCGGAGGCGACGGGCGAGGAGCAGGAGCTGCGAGGCTCGCCCGCTTTGGGTCGTCCTGGAGCGCCAGAGCTGTTAGCTGGGAGCTCTCGGCTGTCGGGGGCGGTCAAAGAGCTGGCGCAGTCCTGGGGGGGTGGCCTGGGACGTGGAGTTGAGCTCGGAGTTCGACCAACCCGGGGGGCTGCAGGATCGGAGCAGGCAGGGCCAGGACAAGATCGATGAGGGCAACGCGCTGACGCTGATAGCCGTGGAGGTCGCCGAGATCTGCATGCGCCTGGGTATCGGGCTCACCTTGGAGAACCCCAATGGGGGACCTGGGACTTCCCGCCGATGGAGGCCGTCGCGAAGATGGGGGATATCTACCGCGTGGAGGTGGACCACTGCATGCGCGGCGAGGAGCGGAAGATTCCGACGACCTTCCTGGCGAACGCGCGGAAGATAAGGAGCTGGAGCTGAAGTGTGGAGGTGCTTTCTGGCGCTGCAGCCGCACTGGGCGACCTCATCGCGAGTTGCGGGGGCGGTTTACTCGTGGGCTGACGTGGGCACAGCTGGCCTGTGCATGCCCGCGGGAGTTGCGCAGGGCTTACGGCGCCTTCTCAAGGGAGCTCGAGCCGCGCTGGGAATCGATGCCAGCGGGGGCCCGAATGAAGCTACGACTGGACCGCTGACCGTTGCTAGGGCATTGGCTGGAGATGAATGGGCACGTCCTCTTCCAGGGGACGTGGTCGAACGTGGGGCACAACGACGTTCTGGAGCTGCGCGCGGTGGTGGCGGTGCTCAGACACCTCAGCCGCACATCGCAGAGCCGGGGCCATCGCGCGCTTTTCTCCACGGGCTCTCCGGCGAGCCTGGGCGCGCTGACGGCCCGTCGAGGGGGCTGGCTTCTGGCGCAGCGGACGACGCCGTCGCTGGGCACGCGGGGCGCGGGGTGCCCAGAGGGGTACTTCAGCGACTTCAAGAGCGCGCGCCACTGAGACCACCTGGGTCATCACATTTGTGATGCTGCGGGGTTGGTTTGGGCAGCGTGACGCGACGCCTCGCAACAGGGAGCCTTCGGTCAAGCCGCCTCCGCCGGTCACGCGGGGGCCTTTGGCGCGGGAGAAGGCCCGGCGTGACAAACTGGAGCGCAGTGCGAGGCTCGCGGCGCACGCAGTGGACGACGCCACGAACAAGATCTTCGAGAAGGAGGTGCGAGGCTTCTTGGTCGAGGTAAAGAGGCGCGAGCTGCCGTTCGCAACGCGCGAGCAGAGGGGCCTCGCCTTGGCTGGATATATCTCGGACATGCGCTACGTCATGCAGCTGCCGTCCGGGAGAGCTTCGGCCCTGTTCAACGGCTACATGCGCGTCTCCGACCGCAACGGGTTGCCAGTAGCGGCGCGAGCGTTGAAATCCTGGTCGAGCTGTAGAGATCGTGCTCTACGACCTGTTCCTCGACGGGCAGCGCGAGGGCCCGGCCGTGCTGCGGCAACTGGGCGAGCGGTTGCGAGAGCAGGACTGGGGGCCCCGCAGGGCGCCAGACGTTGTTGTGGGCCCCTACGGGGAGGTCGGCCTCGCCCTGGGCAGGAGAGAGCGCGGGGGGAAGGTCAGGGCGGGCGCCAACCAAGGGGTCGTGATCTCGTGGGACGTAACCAAGGCAGTGCTCGAGGCCCTCGGTCAGGGGGCGCAGTCCCCCGACCTCCCGCGCCCGATGTCCTGAGACACGTGCCGCAGGGCCTGGCGCCAGGCTTTCGACGGGACAGGGCTGCCGGACTTCGGACCCCCCCAATCACTGAGGCACGTCGGCGCGGCGGCACGCACAGCGGCGGGGGGGTCCCTGGAGGCAGCTCGCCGCAGGGGCGCTGGCAGGGGCGCCGGCAGACAGCGTCGGCCCTGCAGCGACGCGCGAAGGTGCGCGTTTTGATTGAGCAGCGCAGCCGCATGACAGCAGGACAGCTCGAGCGTGGCCCGATTTTTTGGCAAAGGCCTGCGGGCCGATCCGTCTGGCCATCCAGCAATCGCCCGTGGCAGACGGCTCTGGCTCGCGAGCTGCTCTGCACGCTGGGGACTGTAAAAGGCGAAATCGTCCATCTGCCTCGCGTCGGCAGCGGTGGAGAGCCCTCCAGCAGGCCGCCCACAGCAGCAAGGGCAGACGCCGCTGACAGGCCAGCAGCTCGACGTCTCTTATATACTCTCTTGCGTTTTTCCTTTTGGCGAGTAGGCAGCTGTTGAGCTGCGGACCCAACCGTGAGGCGGGGGGGGGGGCATGGTGAGCTCTGCGAAAGCAACTCGCGAACCCCCTCCCGAAAGCGGCTCTGGCCAATGCGAGATAGTTGCCGCTGCGTATCTTATCATTCCGCTGCAGGAGCCTCGAGAGCAGGGCGCGCGCGTCCTTTTCGTTTCTCCCCCCTGTCCTCTTAGCTCAGCAAAAGGGAAGATGTGGCAGGCTTATTTAGAGAGGTTTAGAGCGACAGGCCAATTTCTCCGACCCTCCCTCCCGAGAGTGCGTGCCGGACTCTGGTCTGAGCTGTTCAGGGCACACGTGCCAGTCAAGAATGCAATGGACTGGGTCTCAGCTTGTGTTTTACTTCCCAACCATCCTGTGGTGTTGGGTCCTCGTTTTAAAGAGACGTCGCCCCGCGTTCCTTTCCGTCCTTTCCCGCTGCCCCCTCCCTCCTCCCATCTTCATCATCATCATCATCGTCATCATCAGCATCAACGTCATCGCCATCATAATCATCATCATCATCATCATCATCATCATCATCATCATCAGCATCATCATGGCCGTCATCATCCCATCAGCGTCAGCGTCATCCCATCATCATCATCATCGACACCCAGTTCGGCACACCCCTCACGCGTTTCGTGGCCCCATAGGGAGCTCCACCGAAGGCCCCAGTGCTGCCGCCCGCATGCGTCACGCACGTTCAATTCGGCACACCCCTCACGCGTTTCGTGGCCCCATAGGGAGCTCCACCGAAAGCCCCAGTGCTGCCGCAAGCATGCGTCCCGCACACCCATGTCGGCACACCCCTCACGCGTTTCGTGGCCCCATAGGGAGCTCCACCGAAGGCCCCAGTGCTGCCGCCCGCATGCGTCACGCACACCCAAGTCGGCACACCCCTCTCGCGCTTCGTGGCCCCATGCGGAGCTCCACCGAAGCCCCAGTGCTGCCGCCCGCGTGCGTCACGCACACCATATCGGCACACCCCTCACGCGTTTTTCGTGGCCCCATAGGGAACTCCACCGAAGACCCCAGTGCTGCCGCCCGCATGCGTCACGCACACTCAAGTCGGCACACCCCTCACACGCTTCGTGGCCCCACAGGGAGCTCCACCGAAGGCCTCAGTGCTGCCGCCCGCATGCGTCCCGCACACTCATTCGGCACACCCCTCACGCGCTTCGTGGCCCCATAGGGAACTCCACCGAAGGCCCCAGTGCTGCCGCCCGCATGCGTCACGCACAGTCAAGTTGGCACACCCCTCACGCGTTTCGTGGCCCCATATGGACCTCCCCCGAAGGCCCCAGTGCTGCCGCCCGCATGCGTCACGCACACCCAAGTCGGCACACCCCTCACGCGTTTCGTGGCCCCATAGGGAGCTCCACCGAAGGCCCCAGTGCTGCCGCCCGCATGCGTCCCGCACACTTATTCGGCACTCCACATCACGCGATTCGTGGCCCCATATGGGAGCTCCACCGAAGGCCCAGTGCTGCCGCCCGCATGCGTCCCGTCCCGCACACCCATTTCGGCACACCCCTCACACGTTTCGTGGCCCCATAGGGAGCTCCACCGAAGGTCCCAGTGGGTGTGCCCGCATGCGTCCCGCACACCCATTTCGGCACACCCCTCACACGTTTCGTGGCCCCATAGGGAGCTCCACCGAAGGTCCCAGTGGGTGTGCCCCGCATGCGTCCCGCACACCCATTTCGGCACACCCCTCACACGTTTCGGGAGGGAGCTCCACCGAAGGCCCCAGTGTGTGCCCGCATGCGTCCCGCACACCCATTTCGGCACACCCCTCACACGTTTCGTGGCCCCATAGGGAGCTCCACCGAAGGCCCCAGTGGCTGCCGCCCGCATGCGTCCCGCACACCCATTTCGGCACACCCCATCACACATTTTTGTGGCCCCATAGGGAGCTCCACCCGAGGTCCCAGTGGGTGTGCCCGCATGCGTCCCGCACACCCATTTCGGCACACCCCTCACAAGTTTCGTGGCCCCTTAGGGAGCTCCACCGAAGGCCCCAGTGGGTGTGCCCGCATGCGTCCCGCACACCCATTTCGGCTCCACCGAAGGTCCCAGTGGGTGCGCCCGCATGCGTCCGGCACACCCATTTCGGCACACCCCTCACACGTTTCGTGACCCCATAGGGAGCTCCACTGAAGGTCCCAGTGGGTGTGCCCGCATGCGTCCCGCACGCCCATTTCGGCACACCCCTCACACGTTTTGTGGCCCCATAGGGAGCTCCACCGAAGGTTCCAGTGGGTGTGCCCGCATGCGTCCCGCGCACCCATTTCGGCACACCCCTCACACGTTTCGTGGCCCCATAGGGAGCGCCACCGAAGAAGATATTCACAATTGCGGTACTCACAATTGCATATGGTTGGGTCCTTCGCCAGGATATTTGTTTCAGCACCCTCCCCGACGAGTTGAGTCTCAGTCAAGCACCATTGTGATCGTGGGGAGGATCCACTGATCGAGGGTATCACGCTGTTTGGATATCTGTCGGAGGGGGCCCCCTCCTCTCGGGCCGCTCGCTTGTCCGTGTCCGCTTTCGGCTGCTGCTTCGGATTTTCACGTTTGTGTGGTCATTCGTGTGCAGTTTCAGGGTTGTCGCTGTCTTGTCCTCGCAAAAGCTTTAACATCAAATTCGAGTTTCAGGCACGCCTCCTCTGGCGCTTCCTCAGCCATCAAGATTGTGGCTCAAGCCTGCGACTGCTCAACAACAGAGGGGCCAGGGCCACCCGCGCCGTCAGCGAGCACCCAGGAACGAAGAGAGAGCGATGTGCGCGTGCTTCTCCTGGTGCCTGCCCAGGAGGACCAGGCGCCACAGCGAGACCCCCTACGTCCGCCTGAGCCATGCCGTGGCGGCGCCGAAGGTAAGCCAGGCCGTCACCACGGTGAAGTCCGACACGCTGGAGGTGACCGAATACATCTCGAGGAAGAAAGCCCTGCCTCCGGATCCGCCTCGCTTTGCGAATTCTTTGCGCGATTTCGCAAATAGGGCGGACATGTCAGCCCTACTATTCAGGATCATGTGATGCAGATTTCCGCATTGTTTCGCCGTCGCTGTTTCCGCCATATGTTTGCAGAAATCATCGCCCTATTTTCCTGGGCCGGAGATGTCCGCCCTATTTCTCCGCATCGTTCACGGTGCATTTTCGACACAGTTCTCCGCCACAAGATATATATATATATATATATATATATATATATATATATATATATATATATATATATATCCCTGGGGGCGAGGCCGGGGGCCCCGGGACAGGTGCCTCCACCCCCCATGGCGGGACCGGGGCTCATTTTCCCTGTGTTTTTACAGGGTTTCCGCGTCCTGGTCCTCGGAGGCCGCCGCCTCCGACCCCCCATGGGCCAGGAGGGCCTCCAGAGGCTCCCAAGACGGCCCAAGCGGGCCCCGAGTCGCCGAAAGACCGCTCTAGGACGCCCAAGATAGGCCCAAGACGGCCCGAGAGGCCCACCAAGGCACTCCACGACGCTTCAAGACGCCTCTCCAGAGCGCTTCCAGAGGCCGAAATCGTCAAGTTTACGAAGGTTTTCGAACGATTTTGGCCTTCCAGCCTTTTCGGCTGTCCGACGTTCCACGACGGCTCAATAGGCCCCCAAGAGCGCCCCAAGACGGCCCAAGAGGGCCCCAAGACGGCCCCAGAGTCGCCCAAGACAGCCCAACAGAGCCCCAAGACGGCCCCAAGATGCGCCCAAGAGGGGGACCACGACTCCAAAATTCGACCCTCCCGCTTGAAGAGTGCCCCAGGAGGCCCCAAGGAGCCCCCAAAAGGCCCCAGGAGGCCCCCAAGAGGCACCCAGGATGCCCAAACGAGGCCCAAAGAGGCCACAAAGCAGCCCGAGGAGGCCCCACAACGGTCCCAAAACGACTACCGAGAAGCTGCGAAACTGCCTTCACGACGTCCCCGACAGGCCAACCACGAGATCCAAAGCAACACCCATGAGGCCTCTGACCCACCACCCAGGGCACGGTGGCGGCAGCAGTGACAGCACTTGTGCACAGCATGTTCCGGCGGGAGCCTTCCGGAACACGCTGCAGGAGGAGGAGGAAGATCAGGAGGAGAGAGAGCTGGAGTGGGAGGAGGAGGAGGGGGACGAGGAGGAGGAAGAGGCCTCCCAGACAGCTCCAAGATAGCCGAAGAGGCTTCCAAGAGGGCCCTGGGCGGCCCACGAGGGCCCCAAGGCGGTGCCTGAGGCGCCCAAGACGGCCCGAGAGGGCCCCAAGACGGCCCCAAGAGAGGCCCAAGAAGGGAAACACGAACCGAGAATCCGAGCTTTCTACCCCGAGAGGGCCTCGGGAAGTCCCAAGAGGCCCCCAATCGGATCCAAGAGGCCCCCAAGAAGCTCCCGAGAGGGCCGACGAGGCTCCAAGAGATCTCCCAAGGTAGCCCCAAGAGGCAAAACACATTGTTTTACGATTGGGCTTTGACGTTTCTTTTTCTGCCTTTTGGCATCCCGATGCTCCAAGACGGCCCAAGAGGCTTCCAATACCGCTCCCATATAGAGGAAGAGGCCTCCAAGAGGGCCCCAAGACGGCCCGCGAGGGCCCCAAGACGGTGCTTGAGGCGCCCAAGACGGCCCGAGAGGGCCCCAAGAGCCCCAAGAGAGGCCCAAGAAGGGGAACGCGACCCAACAGCAGAGCGGTCCCCCCACAAGGCCCACAGGAGGCCGCAAGAGGCCCCCAAGTGGTCCGACGAGGACCCCAAAAGCTTCCCCGAGGGCCTAAAAGGCCACCAGGAGACGTCCAAGAGGCTTTCAAATAGCCCAAGAGTGCCCTCGATGCGTCAAAACTGCTTCCAGGAGGCCCCTGGGAGGCTTCCGGATTGCCTCAATCTGGCCGCAGGTGGCCTCAAGTCGGGCCTTCACGCAGCCAAGACGGCCAACGACGGCTTCAGATTGCAGAACCGATGCCCCCAAGAAGGGACCCTCAGACGCCTTCCCAAGAAGCACCCAAGAGGTGCCTCCAACAGCCAGTTGACGAAGCATGCGGAACACCCCAGAAGATCCTCAGATGCCGCCGCGCGCCTGTGCTTGATAGCGTTGTCCAAGATCGTCCAGCGCCCCCCCGGCCTGGGCTAGAACCTGAGCGCGCGCGCGCGAAGCGCGCGCGATGGTTCTAAGCCAGGGGCCCGAAAACAGCTGCCCGACCCTCCATGCGAGTACCGGGGCTCATTTTCGCTGTGTTTTCACGGGGGTTCGGCGTCCCGGGCCTCGGAGGCTTCCGCGATGGTCCCGGACATTTTCCAGATCCTCGGCGCGGGCTCCAAGACCATTCCGCAGAGGGCTCCAACAGGCTCCAGGGCAGCCCAAGAGGGCTCCAAGACGGCTCCAGGAACGACTGCAGGGTCTCATTACCTGACAGCGAAGACTGATAGGTTTCTAGTGGTCTCAATAGAGAGCAGCAGATGACTCCACAGGGGGGTCCGGGCGGGACCCGGGGCGGCTGCCGTCGAAGCCCAAATCGCTTGGGACATCCTCGCAAAATCGCTCTTGGCGCCGCTAGAACTCCATTCCCGGCGTACATTTTGGATGCCCGGAGCCAACTGTAGGCCACTTCGTGGTCTTCGAGTTCCCAGAACTCCATTCGGGCCACATTTTGGATGCCCGGAGCCAACTGTAGGCCACTTCGTGGTCTTCGAGTTCCCAGAACTCCATTCCCGGGCCACATTTTGGATGCCCGGAGCCAACTGTAGGCCACTTCGTGGTCTTCGAGTTCCCAGAACTCCATTCCTGGGCATTTTGGAATGCCCGGAGCCAACTGTAGGCCACTTCCTGGTCTTCGAGTTCCCAGAGTTCCATTCCCGGACCGCATTTTGAATGCTGAGGCAGGCTGAGGCTGAGGCTGAGGCAGGCTGAGGCTGAGGCAGGCTGAGGCTGAGGCCGAGGCTGAAGGCAGACTGAGGCTGAGGCTGAAGCAGGCTGAGGCTGAGGCAGAGGCAGGCTGAGGCTGAGGCAGGCTGATGCTGAGGCAGGCTGAGGCTGAGGCTGAGGCTGATGCAGGCTGAGGCTGAGGCAGGCTGAGGCTGAGGCCAAGGCTGAAGGCAGACTGAGGCTTTGGCTGAAGCAGGCTGAGGCTGAGGCTGAGGCTGAGGCTGAGGCTGAGGCTGAGGCAGGCTGAGGCTGAGGCTGAGGCAGGCTGATGCTGAGGCAGGCTGAGGCTGAGGCTGAGGCTGAGGCTGATGCAGGCTGAGGCTGAGGCAGGCTGAGGCTGAGGCCGAGGCTGAAGGCAGACTGAGGCTGAGGCTGAAGCAGGCTGAGGCTGAGGCTGAGGCAGGCTGAGGCTGAGGCTGAGGCAGGCTGATGCTGAGGCAGGCTGAGGCTGAGGCTGAGGCTGATGCAGGCTGAGGCTGAGGCAGGCTGAGGCTGAGGCTGAGGCCAAGGCTCAAGGCAGACTGAGGCTGAGGCTGAGGCTGAGGCTGAGGCTGAGGCAGGCTGAGGCTGAGGCTGAGGCAGGCTGACTGAGGCAGGCTGAGGCTGAGGCTGAGGCTGCAGGCTGAGGCTGAGGCAGGCTGAGGCTGAGGCCGAGGCTGAAGGCAGACTGAGGCTGAGGCTGAAGCAGGCTGAGGCTGAGGACTGAGGCAGGCTGAGGCTGAGGCTGAGGCAGGCTGAGGCTGAGGCAGGCTGAGGCTGAGGCTGAGGCTGATGCAGGCTGAGGCTGAGGCAGGCTGAGGCTGAGGCCGAGGCTGAAGGCAGACTGAGGCTGAGGCTGAAGCAGGCTGAGGCTGAGGCTGAGGCAGGCTGAGGCTGAGGCAGGCTGAGGCTGAGGCTGAGGATGCAGGCTGAGGCTGAGGCAGGCTGAGGCTGAGGCCGAGGCTGAAGGCAGACTGAGGCTGAGGCTGAAGCAGGCTGAGGCTGAGGCTGAGGCAGGCTGAGGCTGAGGCTGAGGCAGGCTGATGCTGAGGCAGGCTGAGGCTGAGGCTGAGGCTGATGCAGGCTGAGGCTGAGGCAGGCTGAGGCTGAGGCCGAGGCTGAAGGCAGACTGAGGCTGAGGCTGAAGCAGGCTGAGGCTGAGGCTGAGGCAGGCTGAGGCTGAGGCAGGCTGAGGCTGAGGCTGAGGCAGGCTGAGGCTGAGGCTGTGACTGCGACTGCCGTTGCCGCTGCGACTGTCATCGCGAATGCGACTACGACTGCGAGAACAGCAGAATTCTACAACTGGATTCTCATCCGAATCTTAAGGGGAATGCTTCCAGATATGCTCCTACACATCGCTGTTAGGTTGCTTTGCCAGGATGATTTTTCTTTTGTTTTCTGCAAGACGGCTCCAGGAAGACTGCATGTCTTCTGAGGATGGCTTCCGCCTCTTGCCCCGAGCATCCCAAACTGCCTGAACGGTTCCCACTCGCCTTCCTCAAACCCAGCGTTTGCCCAAGCGCGTTCCGGACGGTCTTCGCCGGAACGCGCTGGAATGATCACGCGCTGCGGTTTCCCATGCCAACGTCCTCGGACGTGGGCGCCCTGCCACGAGCGCGTTCCGGGAAGATGCTCCTGGAACGCGCTGAAAAGATATGGCCACATCTCGGGGACGCTCCCGGCACTGCTGCCCCAGCCTTTCTGGGCAGCCTCCACAGCGCTTCAGGAGGGCCCAAGACGCCCCCTAGGAGCCCCCAGAATGCGAAAGGATGGCCCAAGACGCTCCCGAGCAGCCCAAGTCAGCCTTCCGACGGCTCTCGAGGCTCCCAGGTGGCCTCCAAGAGACCCCAAGAAGTCTGATAGGTATCGCGGTACGGCCCGGAGAGGCCAAAGTCGTATACGTTCAATGTTCTTTTCTATGTTTTTGGCTTCTCGCGTTTTCGAGCTCCCATCGGTCCAAGAGCGCCGAAAAGCCTCCATGGGGGTACTGGGACTCATTTTCCCTGTGTTTTTACAAGGGTTTCCGCGTCCTGGGCCTCGGAGGGCGCCGCCTCCGACCCCCCATGGGAGGAGGGGCGGCCGGGGAGGTCCAAAATAGTCCAGGAGGGCCTCCAGAGGCTCCCAAGACGGCCCAAGCGGGCCCCGAGTCGCCGAAAGACCGCTCCAGGACGCCCAAGATAGGCCCAAGACGGCCCGAGAGGCCCACCAAGGCACTCCACGACGCTTCAAGACGCCTCTCCAGAGCGCTTCCAGAGTCAGAAATCGTCAGGTTTACGAAGGTTTTCGAACGATTTTGGCCTTCCAGCCTTTTCGGCTGTCCGACGTTTCACGACGGCTCAATAGGCCCCCAAGAGCGCCCCAAGACGGCCCAAGAGGGCCCCAAGACGGCCCCAGAGTCGCCCAAGACAGCCCAACAGAGCCCCAAGACGGCCCCAAGATGCGCCCAAGAGGGGACCACGACTCCAAAATTCGACCCTCCCGCTTGAAGAGTGCCCCAGGAGGCCCCAAGGAGCCCCCAAGAGGCCCCAGGAGGCCCCCAAGAGGCACCCAGGAGGCCCAAACGAGGCCTAAAGAGGCCACAAAGCAGCCCGAGGAGGCCCCACAACGGTCCCAAAACGGCTACCGAGAAGCTGCGAAACTGCCTTCACGACGTCCCCGACAGGCCAACCACGAGATCCAAAGCAACACCCATGAGGCCTCTGACCCACCACCCAGGGCACGGTGGCGGGAGCAGTGACAGCACTTGTGCACAGCATGTTCCGGCGGGAGCCTTCCGGAACACGCTGCAGGAGGAGGAAGATCAGGAGGAGAGAGAGAGCTGGAGTGAGGAGGAGGAGGAGGGGGACGAGGAGGAGGAAGAGGCCTCCCAGACAGCTCCAAGATAGCCGAAGAGGCTTCCAAGAGGGCCCTGGGCGGCCCACGAGGGCCCCAAGGCGGTGCCTGAGGCGCCCAAGACGGCCCGAGAGGGCCCCAAGACGGCCCCAAGAGAGGCCCAAGAAGGGAAACATGAACCGAGAATCCGAGCTTTCTACCCCGAGAGGTTCTCGGGAAGTCCCAGGAGGCCCCCAATCGGATCCAAGAGGCCCCCAAGAAGCTCCCAAGAGGGCCGACGAGGCTCCAAGAGATCTCCCAAGGTGGCCCCAAGAGGCACAACTCATTGTTTTACGATTGGGCTTTGACGGTTTTTTTTCGGCCTTTTGGCATCCCGATGCTCCAAGACGGCCCCAAAGGCTTCCAATACCGCTCCCACATAGAGGAAGAGGCCTCCAAGAGGGCCCCAAGACGGCCCGCGAGGGCCCCAAGACGGTGCTTGAGGCGCCCAAGACGGCCCGAGAGGGCCCCAAGAGCCCCAAGAGAGGCCCGAGAAGGGGAACGCGACCCAGCAGCAGAGCGGTCCCCCCACAAGGCCCACAGGAGGCTGCAAGAGGCCCCCAAGTGGTCCGACGAGGACCCCAAAAGCTCCCCGAGGGCCCAAAAGGCCCCTGGGAGACGTCCAAGAGGTTTTAAAATAGCCCAAAAGTGCCCCAAATGCATCAAAACTGCTTCCAGGAGGCCCGCGGGAGGCTTCCGGATTGCCTCAATCTGGCCGCAGGTGGCCTCAAGTCGGGCCTCCACGCAGCCAAGACGGCCAATGACGGCTTCAGATTGCAGAACCGATGCCCCCAAGGGACCCTCAGACGCCCCCCCAAGAGGCACCCAAGAGGTGCCTCCAACAGCCAGTTGACGAAGCATGTGGAACACCCCAGAAGATCCTCAGATGCCGTCGCGCGCCTGTGCTTGATAGCGTTGTCCAAGATCGTCCAGCGCCCCCCCCGGCCTGGGCTAGAACCTGAGCGCGCGCGAAGCGCGCGCGAGGGTTCTAGTATATATATATATATATATATATGTGTGTGTATACATGTAATGATCCCGGCAAAGCAACCTAACAGCGATGTGTCTAAGTATAACTGAAACATGCAGCAGCAGTGAGAGGCATGATAGTGAGAGAACGAGTGTTGCCCAGGAGTGTCGCCCAGATATGAAGTTCTGAGAGGTCACAGAGCACAAAGTGTGTGACTGTCGCGTGGGATTACTCTGAATGTATCCCGGGATTGCCGTTCCAGACAGCCAGATAGCCCGGCGTGTATACCTGTTGTGTGCGATTTTTCCAAATGTAGCCTGGGAATGGCGTTCTGGGAGGTCTCGGAGCACGAAGTGTGTGACTCTTGCATCCTGTTATTCCGAATGTGGCCTGGGAATGGGGTTCTGGGATGCCAAAGAGCTCGAAATGTGTGACTGCTGCATCCCGTTAATCAGAATGTGGCCCGGGAATGGAGTTCTGGGGTGTCAAGTACGAGGAATTGTGTGACTGTTGCGTCCGGCTATTCCGAATGTGGCCCGGGAATGGCGTTTTGAGAGGTCAAGGAGCACCAAGTGTGTGACTGTTGCATCCGGTTATTCAGAATGTGGCCTGGGAATGGGGTTCTGAGAGGTCGACGAGCACGAAGTGTGTGACTGTTTGTGAAAAACGAGCCCGGCACAGGTCCGGCCGGCAACTCCCAACGCCTGCCCGGACCCCCCTGTGGAGTGATCTGTGAGCTCTTTTGAGTCAACTAGAAACCTATCAGTCTACGCTGTTAGGTAAATACATATATGTATATATGTGTATGTATATATATATATATATATATATATATTATGTACATATGTATATATCGACAGGCACCTTCTAGTGGATCCTTCCTGGGCCTCAGGGGAGGGCGGTGGTGTGTAAATTACTATTGATAGCCAGCAGCTTTATACACCGCCACCCTCCCTGAAGGTACATGCGAAACTCGTCGGAGGGCGTCTGTGTATATATATATGTGTATATATATACATATATATATATATATAGATGTGCGTATCGTGGCGTAAGTTCTAAGTCGGAAAACCAACCAAAGTACGGCGGATCCAGGTTCAGAGAACGCGGCATACACATGAACTTTCGAGGTTCCGCGCAGATTTCTCGGGTCGGCGCGGGGGTGCCCTTGGGCGGCGCCTGCGTCAACGCCCGGGCGCACTCGGCGCGCCGGGAAGGGCGGGTTACGTTGCATCTTCGGGGGACTTCGCCTGTCCCCCAAATTGGTGTCTTTCCTTGTGCCCGACGCGGGCTCGATGCGGACCCGACGCGGTCCAGGGCGGATCCACGAAATCCGCGCAGAGCTCTGCAAGCTTATGCTCCTACCGCTCTGTTCTTCCTCCGACAATCGGCAACGTGGCCAGCAGCGACGCGAAGCTGTCGGCGGTGCTCGGCGTCGTCAGCGCCCCCACCGACGAGGAGCACTACGTCCCGGAGTTCGACGAGTACGTCATGGTGATCTCGGGGATGGTCAACATCCTCAACTCCGAGTCCGGGCGGGTGACGCTCACGGCGGGGCAGAGCTGCAGGCTGCCAGCCGGGGAGTCCATCAAGTGGAGCTGGCCGGGCCCTTGCCAGTACGTGCACATCCGCACGCCCGCCGTCACCGCCGAGTACCACGGCAGGGAGTCCCACAAGGCCCGGGAGGTGCTGCCCGGCTGCCAGAAGATCGTGGCCACCGCCTCGGCCAACGGCTACGTGAAGGTGTGGGACACCGAGGTCATGCAGGAGTTACGCACGCTGGAGGGCCACGCGGACCAGGTCATGTCGGTCCGGTTCACGAAAGACGGCAGGAGATTGGTGACGGCATCCACGGACAGGACCGCCAAAATTTGGGCCCTGCAGAGCGGAAAGTGCTTGCAGACCCTGGTGGGCCACAAGGGCCCCGTTTACTCCGCCTCGCTGTCTCCAGACACGGCGGACGTGGAGCTGGCAGTGACCGCGTCGCAGGATCGAACCGCAATGCTGTGGCACACGGAGGGCGACACGGGCACCTGCTTCTTGATGCTGAGCGGGCACGAGAAGCAGGTGCACGACGCGGAGTTCTCCCCCCACGGCAGGCTCGTTGCCACGGCCTCCGACGACCGCACCGCTCGGCTCTGGGAGATCCCGAGCGGCGCCTGCATGCAGGTCCTGCGCGGCCACACGGATGCCGTGTACTGTGCAGCCTTCTCCCCCGACGGGAGGTCCGTGGCGACGGCGTCGGCCGACAAGACCGCGAGACTCTGGGAGGCGGCCACCGGCGACTGCATCAGAACGCTCAGCGGGCACACCAGCTGGGTGCGCCACGTCGCCTTCGACGAGGGCGGGACGCGCATGGTCACCGCGTCCGGCGACAGCACCGCGCGGGTCTGGCTCTGCAGCGACGGGCAGTGCCAGCTCACGCTGACCGGCCACACGGGCTGGATGCGCGGCGCGGAGTTCTCCGAGGACGGCGCCCAGATTGCCACGTGCGCGAGGGACGGCACCACGCGCATCTGGTGCGCCACCAGCGGGTGCTGCCTCCGAAGGCTGTCGGAGAGGCCTATAGAATCAAGGTAACTCCGTGGCAGGGCGCTCCAGAACACTCAGCAGAGCGCTCCGGAACGCTCTGAAACGACCGCGGCGCCGGAGCCATCCTCCAAGCCCGCCGATTTCTCTGAGATTTCCGATCTACAGTCGGGCCGCTGAAGAAGGAACCCTTTTCGCTGGAGAGGGGCTCAGTGTTCCTTACTCACGTGTTTTGCAGCTCGTCTTAGGTGTTGGGAACTCGAAGTTTAGCTTATGGGCAGAAGGGACCTCGTTCCTCACGTAGGGTTCCTTCTGACAGCGTTTCGATTGTATATTGGTCCGATGCTGTCTCGATTCTGCCGTCGTCGTAGGCTGGAGCACGACGCCTGGGTGCGTTCGGCGGCCTTCGCCCCCGACCTGCTGGACCACGACGGGGGCACAGCGGGCGCCCCGCCGCGGTTCTTCGAGCGCGACGTGGCTGCGGCCCGCAACCGTCCGCGGCTGGGCTCGTCCGCCGCCCGAAAGCTTTCCGCTTAGACATACATCGATACATGCATACATACACATACGTACACACATGCATACATGCATGCACACATGCGTACATACACACACATACATATACATATATATATATATATATATATATATATATATATATATATGTATGGTAGTTTGTACAACTGAATGCTGAGCGGAGACGGGGAACCGGACGAAACCTTGTAAAGTACAGTCGTCTGGGAGCAACGCAGAAACCGACCCTTTTCAACTGAAAAGGGTCGGTTTTTCTGCCGGCGAGAACACTACAGACGTCATTGGCTTGCATACGTACTCATATTTGTGCTCAAAGTTTTTGTGGGGGCCCCGGCTCCCATGGAGGCTCTGCTCCTCGAGATTACCCGGGGCATTTCAACCGCCCTCGCCGTGCGGTCTTCGGCGGTCCCCTGTCCAGACTGCACCTGCAATTGCGCGCCTGCGCTTGCCTGCTCAGAGGGCGCGCTCCCGCGGGAGTTCGGGCAGGAGACGGGCTGGGAGTGGCCCGGGCCCTGGGCCTGCTTCTCCTTGATCGGCCTCGGCGCGGTCGCCGGGGCCTCGGCGGTGCTGCTGGCACAGCGCTGGCTGGCGCCTGCCCCCGCAGCGGCGCCGGCACGGGCAGCGGGCCCAGCCGAGCTCGCGGACCCCTCGTCCGCCCGAGCGGACTTGCTTCAGGAGGCGCGCGCGCAGCTGGCGGAGGTTGCAGCACGCCGCGCCGCGGCCCGCCAGGCCTGACGCCATGGCGGCTCCACACCAGTTCATCGCGGCGGGCTTGGCCGAGGGCGACTTCCTGGCTGTCCGATACAGAGTGGGTGGCCGGCGCCTGTGGCACCGCCGCCTGGTAGTGGCGCTCGTGCCCGGCGGGACCACCGTTGCGGGCATCATGACTCCCGACCTCGATGAGTACGACGAGGACGTGGCCGACCAGGCGAATATCGCAGAGTGGACGATGCTCCTGCTTGGCACGATCGGGCCTGCTGCTCCGGCTATGGGTAACGACGACGTCTACGATTTCAGGCACATCCCGTTGCAGGCCGCGGTGGATGCAGCTCGAACCGCAGCATACGCGAGAAGGGGGGCTGTGCCGGTCGGGCCCATCGTGGTCAACCTCGCCGGGCGCGTGGGGGCTGGCGCTCCTGTGGGCGCAGCACCCCCTGCGGCTGGCGGCGCGGCGGCTGCGGCGGCTGGGGGCCCTGGCGGCGGCGGCGGCCTCGCGGGGCTGGTGGCGGCCCTTGGCGGCCCGGCGGGCGGCCCGGCCGTTGCGGCGGCCGCCCCAGCGGCCCTGGTGCCCGTGGCAGCGCCCGCCGCCCCTGCCGCCGGTGCGGGCGCCCCGCCAGCCGGGCCTGGGGCCGCGGCGGCCATCCTTGGCGCGCCCGTCGCGCCCGCCGCCCTGGCAGCGCCCGGCGCGCCCGCGGCCGCGGCTGCAGCTCCCGCGGCGGGCGCCCCGGCGGCCCCGGCTGTGGCTGGACCTGGCGGCGACGCCCCGATCTTCGGCGTGGTGGTCGATGCGCGCGGGGTCCGTCATGTGGACTTCCGCACCGCAGTCACCCGGATGACCGAGCTCCCCTGGCCAGACTGGCCCGTGCGAGGGCCGCGCACGTTGCGGTGGGTGGCAGAGTTCATGGCGCAGCGGAGCGGCACGCCGACGGCGCATCATCAGAGGTGGCTGGCGGAGACGGGCCTTGACCCCGCCGATCCAGGAGTGGAGATCCACCAGACGGGCTGCGTCGTCCTCGAGACGGCCATTACCTACGACCAGGAACACGCCACGAACCTCGCCCACCTCGAGCTCGTCGCCCGCTCGATCCAGGTGCAGGAAGAGAAGTACCGGTTTCTCGTTGAGCCCGACGATGCCTCGGCTGCTGACAGGTCGGCCATGACGGGGACGTCGCAGCTCGCGGGCTCTGTGTGTGTCTGCCCCGCCCTTCGCGACTATCTCGCATCGGAGTTGCAGAAAGAGATGGCAGTTGCGAAGGAGCGGAGGAAGGCGCGCGAGGAGCGCGCCCTCGCCGGCGGCCAGCCTGGCGGCAAGCGCGGAGGGGGCGGCAGGGGCCGCGGCGGCCGGCGGGGCAGAGGCTCCGGTGCCGCAGGCGGCGATGCTTAGCTTGCCGGAGGGCGGTCGGCTTGGCCCGCCGCCGCCCTCGCTCCTCCAGGCCTCCGCGGGCGCCAACAGCGCTGCCCGCACTTCGGGCGAGGCCGGGCCCCCTTCGCGCGAAGACGGTCGCCAGCGCAACCTCTTCCCGCTGCCGCAGCTCACAGCAGCCGACGCGGCGCCTGGCCTCTCTCGCACCCGGCGGCGCGCTCGGGCGGGCCACGCCCTCGGGCACGCGCTCGACCGGGCCAACGCAGCCGTGCATGCACTGAATTACCTATGCGGTGACAAGTCCTCGCCCGAGTCGGCCGTTCCGACAGCTGGGCAGCGCTGCGCCGTCGGTCACATCTGGGACACCATTGCCGCCCTCGGCCCCGAGCCGGACGAGTACCGCGACGACGTGTCCGACCCCAACGGGGCCCTCCGGGAGCTCCTTGCTGGGTCCGCGCTGTACCCTGACGGCAGCGGGCCCACCACTCCCTACGTGCCAGACCTCGTCTCTTGGCCCGATGTGTCCCAGCCCCCAGCGCCGCTCCTTGGGCTGCTTGGAGAGCGGGACGCCGCCGCGCTGCAGGAGTGGAGGCGCCATATGCTTCGAGATGCGGAGGAGGCGCGTCAGCTTCGGGCTGAGGCTTGTCCGCGCGGGCCCTACACGGACCCCGCCCTCGTTCAGTCGCCCACAGAGTATGCCAAGTTCCTGGGCGCGATGGCTGAGCGCCACATGCTCACTTTGTCTCCCGCCCGGGGGCGGCGGGGCAACATGGGAATATGTTTTGTACCTAAAAAGAATGGGAAGTTGAGGGTCATCTTCGACACGCGGGTGGCCAACTGCTCGTTCATCGAAGCCCCGAGGACCCAGCTGCCGTCTGCCTCGGCCTGGGGCCGCCTCGAGGCTGGCGACGTTCGCCTCAGCATCGGCTCCGCCGACCTGGACGTCGCTTTCTACCACATGCAGGTGCCTGCTGGGATGGAGGAGTTCTTCACCTTGCCTCCGATCCCTGCAAAGTATTTGATGCCCTTCGGATGCGTGGAGGCCGGCACGAGGGGTGGCGACCTCCTGCTCCCGCAAGTGGCGGTGCCCCCGATGGGCTTCAGCTGGGCCCTGCACCTGTGCCAGACGGTGCTGCAGACATCCCTGTGCCGAGCCGGCTTCTCGCCCGAGAACCTGATCCTTGACGGCCATAGCGGCTGCCAGCTCTCTGACGACCCATCCTCGGTCGTGGGCGCCGGCTACGTGGACAACTACTTCGTCCTTGGCGGCTCCCCAAAGCACGTGAGCGAGCAGCTGCAGGCTATCACCGACGACCTCCAACGGCATGGGCTCGCAGTTCATGACGTCGAGGAGCCCTCCCAGGACTGCGACTTCCTGGGGCTGTCGCTGCGCGAGGGGCGCTGGCTCAGCCTTCGGACTCGCAACATCTGGCGCCTCCGCGCGGCCATCCGCGGCGCCCTGCGCCGCCAGCTGATCAGCGGGTTCCTGTTGCGGGTGCTCACCGGCCACGTCACGTAGGCCCTTCTGCTTCGACGAGAGATGCTGTGCGTGCTGGGGGCGACCTACGCATTCATTCAGGCCACCGGGCCCACGGCGGCGCCCCTGTGGCCTGCGGCGCGACAGGAGCTCCAGCTAATTCACGACCTGCTGCCCCTTTGCACGGCCGACCTGGGCGCCCCTTGGCGCGGGCGCGTCGCGTGTGCAGACGCCTCTCCGTGGGGGCTGGGTGTCGTTGCTCGCCGCGCCCCAAAGGACCTCGTGGGCGCCGCAGGCCGAGTTGCTGAAAAGTGGAGGTATAAAGTCGAGGGAGGAGCGCAGGCGAGAGCTCGCACTGTAGGAGTGTCGGAGGAGACTGACGCCGCCGCCGCCGACCTCGGCCACCCCCCTTCGTTCGACAGCTCGGACAACGCGAACGTCGGTCCCGGGGGGAAGGGGGCGCAGGACGAGCTGGGGCGTTCGGTGCTCGATCCTCGCCCGCCCGTCGACTTCGAGGAGGTCCCCGCGCACTTCATTCGGGAGTCGGCCTGGGGCTCGGTCGCCGCGGTCTTCGTCGACGGTCGGGCCAACATCTTGGCCTTGGAGGGGGAGGCTCTCGTTCTTGGGTATCGCCATCTGCTACGGCCCACGTCTTCGTTCGGGTCCCGGTTCCTCGCCCTCTCCGACAACCTGCCCTTGTCGGTCGGGAAGGGCCGGGCTCGCAGCAGGCACCTCCAGAGCACCCTTCGCAAGATCTGCGCGCTCTCCGTGGCCACTGGCTCAACCCTGTCTGTCAGGTGGATCCCGTCGGAGGCGAATCCCGCCGACGGGCACAGTCGCGGGCGCGTTGGCTGGTTCTCCGGCAGTCGGCCGGCGCCGGCGCTGCCGGGCGTGGGGCTGCTGGATCATGCGGCTGCACTGGTTGCTGGCGCTCCTCCTCCGGGCCGCGCTGGCTGGGAGGAAGCAGGCGGCTCCGACGGCGTCGGCGCTGAGGGGCGAGCGAGCCCGCCGCGCGCAGGAGGTTGCAGCTGCTGCGGCGCCGGTCCTTGGGCTCTCGCTGCTGGAGCGGCTGGCGGTGCGGCACTCGACCGAGAAGCTCTACCGGGGGGCGCTGTCGGCCTTCGCGAGCTTCTGCGCAAGGCACCGCCTGGACTGGACGGACCATGCCAGCCTCGACTCGGTCCTCGTGCAGTACATGGACAGCGAGTTCCTCCTCGGCGGCGGCGGGAACATGGGGAACGTGCTCCTGGCGGCGGTCGCCCACTTTCTCGGCTCGCTCCACAAGCGAGCGGCGACGCAGCTGCCGAGGGCGCACCGCGCGGCTGCAGCCTGGGCCCGGCGGGCGCCGGGCCGCGCGCGCCTCCCGCTGCCGCGGCGAGTCGTGTTTGCCATCGCGGGCGTCCTCCTGCGCGACGGGCGCTCCCGGCTCGCCATCTGCATCCT